CTTCCTGCCGGGCGGTATTTGCGGTTGGACCGCAATGAGCCGAAATTTCGGCCGGTTTTAATAAACCCGGCGGTCCCTTAATTTAAACGAAACGCCGCCGTTTTGACCTAAGCTTAAACAAAAAAAAAACGTAAGTGAAGCAGTTACGAAAACCCTACTCCCCGCGCCGCTCTGCCTCTCGCCCTTGCCAGCGCTCTGTCTCTACTCTCTACTCTCTCGTCCTCCCCAGCAACCCAAACACCACCGGCGACGCTACCACCGGCGACGCATCCTCTCCAGCAACCCGAACACCACCGGCGACGCGTCCTCCCCAGCAACCAAATACCACCGGCGATGCGTCCTCCCTTAGGTCACATAATTCATGGAGGAGGGGTCGACGCTCCCGCTCTAGAACGCGGAAACGCGAATTCCAAAGGATTCGCACAAAATTCGCGAATTTCTTTTTGTTGGAGCGCGAACTTCGTAAGCTAATTCACGAATTTCTTTTATATAGACAGTTCGGTAGGGAAATCGAGGAAGGAGTTCATCGATTTGGTGAGGGAGAAGAATCCCTGGTTGGTTGCATGAAGGAAGTCGGAAGGGAATTTGTTGATTTGGGAGGTTTTGGACTACGCAGGGAAAGATATTTTGTTGGCAATTAACAGTATCGCAACCCGAGTTCAAATACGAGCTGACTTGCTAGCGTTTATGGGAAATTGGTGGGAGGAGGAGCTCATCTGTGTTTTGAAGATTGAAAGGCCCTTGGGAGAAACCAGAGATTGAAAAAAAAATTGGGAGAAAGGGAGGAAGTGGCAGTTGCAGGGGAGAAAGAAGACAAGCTTCTAGAAGAGAGAGATCGGAAACGATGACAATTGAGTATTGACAGACTTGAAATTGTGGATTTTTAAAAAAAATGGTGGGTTTTTAAAAAAAAATTTATGGCTATAATGGGTTTTTATTTAATGATTAAGAATGAAATGGGCTATTATTTAACAAGCCCACTCATATTCTCTCATTCTAGCGGATGAACAATTTTATGGATCAACCCATTTTAAGAGAAAAATAAATTTTCACCCACTAAGTTAAGAGTAAAAAATATGCTCTTACCATAAATTAATAAGAGTTCATTTGAGTTAATTTTTTTAGTTATGATATAATAACATTATCTATAATTATTGATTTGAATTATAAATAATATAATATAATGATGCTTTCTTCACGCTCTCGATATAAAATTCTCTATAAACAAACGCTTTCACGCTCTCGCTCCCGCTTCCATTCCCACTCTACGAACTGGTTACCTAAGTCCTCCCCAAGCCGCGCCGGAGAAAGACGAGTTGCCTTCGTCGTTAGAGGTAGTGTTTGTTTTCTCCTTCTCCCTTTGTCGCTACTTCTATTCTACTTTGTACAAAATCAAACGAAAACATTGAAATAGGTTGATTCATGGGTTAGTAAACAGAACTCAATTGATGCTTTGGATGAAGATGAAGGGTAATATTGCGTTGAGGTAAAATTAACTGCAAAATGTATTTGGATGATTATGAGGTTTATTAGGTATTGAAATCTCGCACTTTATTGAATGTTACCTAAGCTTATTTACTCTTTTACAGTTTCTTAGGCGGTATAATCCGGTTTTACTCCGGTATTTTCCCGGTATGGTACCCTAATTTTGCCGGGACGGTTTTTTAACAAAAAAATAATTTTTTTATTCCAAAAACGGTATTTACCGGTAGGAAAGGGTTGAACCATAGTTGTACCACGATTTACCATGCCAAAGACGATTCCGGTTTGATGTCTGGTACGGTTTCGTAATCCATGTTTTTAACACATGGATTTGTACCCATCCCCAAAGGCAAATTACAGTTTGGTACCTAAACTTAATAGATATGCAGATTTAGTACCTAAATTTAATTTTTTTTTTGCATATAAGTCCTCAAAATATCGATGGAAAATTATGTTTTGGTACCTAAAATTTTTTGGTCTTACATTTTGGTACCTAAACTTTTCAAGTTTTACAAATATGTCCAATTTTTGTGTGTGTAGTTAAAACACCCTCAAGTAAATGGATATTCATATCCAACCCATACCCATTTACATTATGAAAGCAATATCCATACCTAACCCAAACCCATCTACATACCCCCAAACTCATATACACTTCATCCAAACCCTACCCATACTAAATGGATCTATTTGGATTTGGGTAAAATTACCCATGGGTGGGTAATTGCCATCCCTAGACGGGGATGACAGGATAGGGTAGATTTTTTATATATCACATCTGAACTACGGTTAACCATTTTCAAATCAAAAGTAGATGAAGATATAAATTGACATACAAAAATATGGGTTAATTGCAAGGTTGGTCACTGAATTTACTAAAAACGTTCATGTTTGGTCACTGCAAATATTTAATTTCATTCATGGTCACTAAGATTAGTTTAATAGTTCAAGTTTGGTCACTCTCCGTTACACTCCGTTAGTTTTTGCTGATGTGGCAGTCAACTATTATAGTTGACCGTTAAATGAGTGACGTGGCCTATAAAAAAATATTAAAATTTAAACATTTATAATTTCCACCTCATTTTACAACTATTAAAAAATAAAAATAAAACTTAATAGATGGCTACGCCACCACTATTCTGATCCATACCGAATCTCCCCGGCTTTGGCGATCTTGAGGCGGTTCTCGGGCTTGTTCTTGGCGAGCAGCCTGATCTCCATGGTGGCCTGCTTCTGCTCGTCGATGGCGCTGGAGTCGAGGCTGGAGACGAGGTGGAGCATGAGGTCGTCGGAGTTGTCGGCGGCGCAGGAGCCGAGGAGGCGGCGGCTCTCGATGGAGGTGGTGGGGAACTCGCCGGATCGGTCGCTGTTAAATACAGAGCAGAAGGCTAATAAGAACAAAAGGCAGCACACCCCTCACTTCCCACAAGCAAACAAAGACGAGAGCAGCAAAAGATAATTAACTGCTCACACAAATCAAAGAATACGAGTTGGGTTTCAAGTAGCCTGACCAATGCATCAGCTGAACCCAGATCCCCAGAACTGAAGTCTCTTGGCTGATATTATCAGAGAAGAGAGCATAGATAAGAAAACAGATGCTGACGTACAAGAATGGGCGAGAGCTCAGGCACAATTGCAGGGGATTGTGATTGGCTAAAGCGAAAGGCGTGAAACCCAGCTTTCAATCCCAGCTAGCAACAGCGACCGATCCGGTGAGTTCCCCACCACCTCCACCGAGAGCAGCCGCCTCCTCGTCTCCTGCGCCGCCGACAACTCCGAAGACCTCATGCTCCACCTCGTCTCCCGCCTCGACTCCTGCGCCATCGATGAGCAGAAGCAGGCCACCATGGAGATCAGGCTGCTCGCCAAGAACAAGCCCAAGAACCGCCTCAAGATCGCCAAAGCCGGGGAGATTCGGCACCATGAATCAGAATAGTGGTGGCGTAGCCATCTATTAAAGTTTTATTTTTATTTTTTAATAGTTGCAAAATAAGGTGGAAATTGTAAATATTTAAATTTTATTATTTTAATATTTTTTTAATGGTCACGTCACTCATTTAACGGTCAACTATAATAATTGACTGCCACATCAGCAAAAACTAACGGAGAGTGACCAAACTTGAACTATTGAACTAATCTTAGTGATCATGAATGGAATTAAATATTTGAAGTGACCAAACATAAACGTTTTTAGTAAACCCAGTGACCAACCTTGCAATTAACCCAAAAATATACACGTCTGTGATTTGGAGAAAATTCATCTGCACAATTTCCCGAATAATAATATATAAGGTTTTCATATAAAAGTGAAAATTTTGTAAGGGTGTGGATGATACTTTTATTATGTACATATACTGTTTATAAAAGTGAGGGAAAATGACCAATTCTTTTGTCTGAGAAATAATTATATAATAATTGAGAGATATGCACGACTTAATTGTTGAAACTAGTGTGTCTAGATTATAGTAGTTGTAGCACATATCCAAATATGTTCCGTGGGGATACTGAAAATATCAAACCCATCACCCTCTTTGTCAAATTCGACAAAAATCCGCCTAAAATAATATTGATAAGATTTTCTCTAATCAATTCAATTCAGATTCAGATGAATATCCATAGTGATATTATTTTTCCATCCATGGACCATGAAGTGAGACAATGAAGTGGGTCTATACTCTATATGGATATATATATTGATGTCTTTGGTGCACTCACTTTTTTGGGTGCATTCAGTGCACTTGCTTCATAACCGTCATTTTAAACATGCGATTTATGTCAAAATGATGTCAATCATTACTTATGATGCGATGAACAATAACGCACATGAATTTGCACAAAAACCATTAAAGATTTACTTCAATTTGAAGGATTTAGAGTTTAGAGATTTAGGGATAGGGTTAGGGTTTACAATTTGGGGTTTAGGGATAGAACTCAAAATTGGAGGTCTAAGGCTTAGGGTAAATCGCTAATTTGTTGTTATCATATGTTATATCATCATATTACACTAATTCTACAAATAAAAATTCAAAATCCGACAGTTTAATACTAGTTTTTGAGTTGAGTGCACTGAACGCGATCATTTTTGTGAGTGCACCGAAGTAGCCACCATATATTTATATATATAAATTGCAAACTCGCTACTAGAATTGCTAGGTCATGATTTCATATTCCCTTTAGACCATAGCCATTTTTCTTGACCTAGTAGACACCAAACGCTCTCGTTGTGTGTATGTCAGTGCTATACATTTTGAAATTAAAATAGGGATAAGAAGACATTGAGGCACAAAAAAAGTCGCAAGATTAATCCACAAAATTCCTGCAAGCAGACTTATAAATAGTGTCATCGACGTACTTAATTTTGACTCACTAAATTCAAAGTCGTCGGTCCTTTTGTCAAAGTCCTTATACTCCCAAAAGTAAGTGTCCATGTGGGTGAGCTCAAGTCCTTCATCTGTTCATACTCAGCCCTGCTATTTATCACTGTGTATATAAAGTCGAATATCGATCGGCCGGCAAGCAAAACACAAGCATAGAGAACATAACCAACTAAAATGGCCGGTCATACTAGTAAGGTATCTGTGTTTATTAGGGTTTTACTGGTCACGATTTTCACGGCCCTCCTCCTGACCTCTCCGGCGGCGGTCACGTCATCCAGGCATCTTCCGGCCACCGCAGCCGGAAGTACTACTTTCGTCACCCTCCGTTCATCTAGTACGTAATAAGAGCCTCCACCCTTGATTTCGTTTCTGAATTAATAGTATTGGGATCCCTAGTGTTACATGTTGATTAATTAGGGATCAGTTTGTAATTTTGGTTTAGTCTTTTCCCCGCTGCCTGTTACTTTTGGGAAGACTATTTATAGCCTTGTTTGGCCGCCTGTAAACCCTAAGCAAAAAGGGTAAACACTCACGTATTAGTTTTTCAGCCGAGAGCTCTTTGCTCTCCGTGGAGTAGTCTCGTTCATCTTGAACGAGGAAACCACGTAAATCTTGGTGTCGTGTGCATTGTTTCTTTTCCGCGTTCATCTTATTTTACATGGTATCAGAGCTGTGCTGATCACAGGTTGAATCATGGGTTCGGACGATGAATCATCCACCAAAACTCCGAAGTCGGGCGCTGATCAATCGAAGCTTAAGTCGGTGCTTGACGATGGACAGAGTGGGCTGCCGTCGCATCTCATACTTCACCAGTCTGAGAGTCCCAACAATCTGTTTGTTGGAGAGCTGCTCACGGACGTTAATTATGGCGAATGGGTGGTGGACATCACCGATTCGTTGGTTGCTAAGAACAAGATTTGTTTTGTTGATGGCACTCTTCCGGAGGCTACGAACTCTTCTGAAAGAGATGCTTTGAGGCGTTGTAATGCCATGGTTAAAGGCTGGTTGAAAACAGCCATGTCGAAAGAAGTTCGAAACAGTGTGCGCTTTGCGGATACGGCTCGAGAGATCTGGGTGGACTTGCAGTCGCGTTTTAGTCAAGGAAGCTCGTCTCGGCTTTATGATCTGAAACGAAAAATCAACAGTCTTCAGCAAGAGAAGATGTCGGTGTCGGCCTTTTATACTCGACTGCGTGGGTACTGGGATGAGGTCCATGCGATTATGCCTTCTCTTGATTGCACTTGTGCAGGCTGTCATTGCGACGTTAAACGTCGTCAACGCGAAGTGCGAGAAGGAGAGCGGCTGTTTGACTTTCTGATGGGGTTGGACGATGCGTTCAGCACGGTGAAGTCCCAAATTCTTGCCATGAAGCCTGCACCTTCCCTCGCAGAAGCCTATCAGCTCGTCATTAATGATGAGCAACAAAGGCAGATTTCTCAGAGCAGAAAGCCGCGCGCAGAGGCAGCCGTCTTTCAGACTCAGGGGGAGCGACAAGGAGATCGAGACCGTCGATCGGATCGTTCGAGTTCACAAGGCGATCGAGATCGCGATCGAGAAAGGGAAAGGGAACGTGACTCTGATGGCAAGGTGCGATGCACTCACTGTCAGCGTACTGGGCACGTGAAAGAGACATGCTATCGTCTTATCGGGTTTCCACCGAAGAATGGTGAGAGGGGCGATCAAACTCGACGTCGTAGTGAGAAAGGCAGCAAGCCACAGGCAGCCCAAGTAGACGCTACTTCGAGTCCCCTTCCTGGTCTCTCCTCGTCGCAATTTGCGCAGCTCAAAGAATTGTTGACCAATGATCTGCGCCAGTCTTCTCCTCTTGAGCCAGCTTCCAACATGGCAGGTACGTTTGCTGGTCACTCCTCTGCTTGGTTAATTGATTCAGGATGTACTGAACATATTGTTAATGATGCTTCGTTGTTGGATGATGAGTTGGATTCGTCTCCAACTCTACAGGTCAAAATTCCTAATGGAACAGGAGTTAAAGTTAGTTGCATTGGGACAAGCAAGTTATCTAATGAATTACCTTTGCGTCGTGTTCTACATGTTCCTGAATTTCAGTGTAATCTACTCTCTGTTAGTAGATTGACAGCGGATCTTCCAGTCGCATTAATCTTCTTGGGTAACTTATGTGTCATTCAGGACTTACCATCCAAGAGGCTGATTGGGATGGGTAAGCAGGTGAACGGGCTGTACTATATTCAGCTGCTTGATGGGGAGCATCCAGTGGCGCACTCGGTTCGGCATTCTCTGAGCATGGCGGATACGTGGCACGCCAGGCTGGGTCATCCATCTTCGGCAAAACTTAGTACATTGGAGAAGTTTATTGATTATCCTCTCATTCAGTCTAGAGACCCTTGTCGATCTTGTTTACGAGCTAAACAGACTCGGAATTCGTTTGAGTCTAGTACTATTAAAACCAAGTCGGTTTTTGATCTTATTCATATTGATATCTGGGGAAGTTATAAGACAGCATCTACTACTGGTGCACATTATTTTTTGACAGTGGTTGATGATTATTCTCGTGCGGTCTGGGTTTTTCTGATGCGACATAAATCAGATGTTGGTCGCTACTTGCTATACTTTTGTAACATGGTTCGTACTCAGTTTGACAAGCAGGTTCGTCGTATCCAAGCAGATAATGGACCTGAATTTGCCACTACTGCTTTGTTGTCTTATTATGAAGAAAATGGTATTGTTCTGCAGACTTCGTGCACTGATACTCCACAGCAGAATGGAGTGGTGGAACGTAAACACAGACACTTACTTGATACCGCGCGAGCTTTGCGTTTCCATGCAAATTTGCCACTAAAGTTTTGGGGCGAGTGTGTGTTAACTGCGGCTTATCTCATCAACAGAATGCCACTTGTTAGTATTGCGAACAAGTCTCCATATCAAGTCTTGTTCGGCAGCGATCCTTCGTATAATCATCTTAGAGCTTTTGGTTGCTTGGCGTATGCCAAGGATACTCATCAGGGACTTCACAAGTTTGCGGAGAGAGGACGTGCTGGTATTTTTATTGGGTACCCCTCTAATCAGCGTGGGTATCGCATATATGATCTTGAGAAGCACGTGATTTATACGTCTCGGGATGTTAAGTTCTTGGAAGACATCTATCCATATCATGCAGTTAACGATGAGGCCCAGTTGACACCAGCAGCAGTGTCTCGGCCACATTTTGGTGTTCCACCAAAGTACTTTGATGATGACCCCTTGCCCGATTCTTCTCATCCTGCAATGGAGTCATCCCCTCACGTGTCACCTACTTCGCCTGCTCCGAGTCATCTGGCAGCGGACTCTTCTTCCTCGGCTTGTCCTCCGAGTCCGCCAGCGGCAACTCCGCCCTCTCCTGAGGTCGGTCACGGTCCCAGTCCAGATAGTCGCCTGTCTTCTCCTCCTACTACCAGTAGCCAGCGTTCCCCGGAGCAAGCAGTGGTTTCGTCTCCCCCAGCAGTCCCATTACCGCGTCGCGGTGACCGCGCCCGAGTTCCCTCCACGCGTTTGCGTGGGTATGATGTTGATCTACCAGGTTTTGGGGGTTCGGTTGAAGTAGAGTATCCTCTTGAGGATTATCTTGGCTATGATCGTCTCTCTGCGGCGCATCATGCTTTTGTCGCCGCCGTCACTGCAGCCGAGGAGCCCACTTATTTTTATCAAGAGGTGCGTCATAAGCATTGGCGGGATGCCATGCAAAAAGAGATTGATGCATTAATTGCTAATGGTACTTGGACCTTGGTCCATCTTCCTCCTGGAAAGAAGAGTATTGCATGTCGTTGGGTCTTCAAGGTGAAGTTTAATCCTGATGGCACAGTCGAGCGTTATAAAGCTCGATTTGTTGCCAAAGGTTACACACAGGTTGAGGGCATTGACTATCATGATACTTTTGCTCCGGTGGCAAAACTTGTCACGGTTCGTTGTCTTCTAGCAGTTGCAGTTACTCGTAATTGGCATATTCATCAGCTCGATGTGAATAATGCTTTTCTCCATGGCGATCTTAATGAGGAGGTGTACATGACAGTTCCGCAAGGTTTTGCTCGACCTGGTGACACTCGTGTCTGTCGTTTACATAAATCCATCTATGGGCTTCGTCAGGCTTCGCGCAATTGGTACCAAAAGTTCACTCAGGCCCTTCTTGCGCTTGGTTTTGTTCAGAGCCGCGCGGATCATGCACTTTTTGTCTATCGCCGCGCGTCAGTTTATGTGACAGCTCTCATCTATGTTGACGATGTGATTCTCGCTGGCACAGACTTGGCTTTTATTGCTCGGGTTAAGGATTCTCTTCATGCACAGTTCACTATCAAGGATCTTGGTTCCTTGAAGTACTTCTTGGGCATAGAGGTAGCTCGTTCCCCCAAAGGAATTGTTTTGAATCAGCGGAAGTATGTCTTGGACATTCTTGCTGACTCTGGCCTTACTGCAGCTCGGCCTAGTCCGACACCTATCGAGCAACAACATCATTTGGGGCGCCATGAGTCTCCTCCCGCAGCGGATGCTAGCGCGTATCGTCGACTAGTTGGTCGATTGTTATATCTCACAGTCACACGACCAGATATCACTTATTCTGTGAATTTGCTTAGTCAGGCCGTGAAAGCTCTCACTCGGGCACATGAGGAAGCTGCGGTACGTGTTCTTCGGTACCTCAAGTCGACTCCGGGTCGAGGGCTCTTCTTCCCGGCGTCTAATCCTCTTGTTCTCACTGCCTTCTGTGATGCCGACTGGGGCGGTTGCCCTCTCTCCCGGCGTTCTACTTCAGGTTTTTTATTACTCTTGGTGCTTCTCCGATCTCTTGGCGCACGAAGAAGCAGACAGTTGTGGCGCGTTCTTCGGCCGAGGCAGAGTATCGGTCCATGGCGAGTACAGTTAGCGAGGTGTTGTGGTTGCGCTGGCTTCTCCGTGATTTGGGTGTTCACATTTCGGATCCTACTCCGTTATTTTGTGATAATCAGGCTGCTCTTCATATTGCAGCTAATCCGGTTTTTCATGAGCGGACCAAACATGTGGAGATGGATTGCTATTTTGTGCGTGAACGAGTTCAGTCTCGTGACATTGTTCCTCGGAAGATTGCTACTTCGGAACAACCTGCTGATTTGTTTACCAAGGGTCTGAGCGTTGATCAGTTTGGTCATCTTCTTGGCAAGCTCGGACTTCTTGACATTCACTCCTTCGCTTGAGGGGGAGTATTGGGATCCCTAGTGTTACATGTTGATTAATTAGGGATCAGTTTGTAATTTTGGTTTAGTCTTTTCCCCGCTGCCTGTTACTTTTGGGGAGACTATTTATAGCCTTGTTTGGCCGCCTGTAAACCCTAAGCAAAAAGGGTAAACACTCACGTATTAGTTTTTCAGCCGAGAGCTCTTTGCTCTCCGTGGAGTAGTCTCGTTCATCTTGAACGAGGAAACCACGTAAATCTTGGTGTCGTGTGCATTGTTTCTTTTCCGCGTTCATCTTATTTTACAAATAGATACGAAAGCTTGTAAATATACATATGTGTGCATGGTCGTGACAATATGTTCTGTAACTAATTACAACTATTTTGATATTCATGACACGTGCGTACGTACAGGGGCAATTAATTATGTTGGTGGTGGTGGTGATCGTGGCTTCCGAGGGGTTTTCTTTCTCAATAATAAGTTGAACTCCGGAAGGGAGCCCAACCGCGGCGGATTCAACGAGCCCAACCCGTCGGCCGGTGGCTAGCTAACCTCGTGGAATGGCTTTGGCTATTCCTGTTGATTTTTAAAGGCCTATAGCGATTAAGAATTAGTTGATTTCAATAACTACTGGAATTATTGAGAAATGTTTAATCGTGCAGTGCTTTGATGTCGTTACGAGCCACCTCGGGCTCTGTAGGGTTGATGATTATCCTTGATTTTCAACCATGTTATTATGAAATAACTGAAAAGAGAGAAGAGAATTTGGGATCACAATTTACTCAAACAAACAACTCGATCTGCAAGTCCTGGAAAAACCGAGGTAATTGCGTACTGCATGTCTGCATGGCCGATTTTTCGTCCGAGTCCTACCCGGCCTTGCGTTTTGGGTATTGTTATTAATGGGCTTTTTCTTTTAGCGGAAGCCCCTTAATGGGCTCGCTGCGCTCGCACAAATGGATGGGCCGGGGAAATCCCTTGCTGTGAGAAGATCGTCTCCAAATCTGCGGGTCGTTTACTTCATAGAAAGGAAAAATGAGAGTTTTAGTAGGATAATAATAAGCTAATGGAGTAGAGTCCTCTCTTTGGCAGAATTGTCAAAAGTTTGCCTTGGAGATTGCTAATCTAATGGACAATGGGGATGAGAACAAGGGTAACGATAGACTGGTTTCATGAGTCTTCTTTCTTCATCAAAGTAGCAGCTCCAGCTGCCTTTGTACTTCTTCGATCTCCCCTTGCATTCTTCATCATTTCTTCACTTGCAGGCTTTTTTGTCTTGAAAAAGCTCCATCGCCATCACCAGCTGATGAAGCTAAACTGCAACCGTTTGTAACCATATAATACACACACACAGGGATCACATATTTCCATGGGAAAAAATAATACAGTTGGATCATCGAGTCAACCACTAGTGTTGTTTCTTACGTAGGGGTGTAAGTGACTAAGTGTGACCCTTAAAACACACTGACCCGCCCCGACCCGTTCCGACTCTTAGGGTCGGGCTGGGTCAGTTTGTCTACAGGGTCAGCTTAGGATATGGTCCGGGTCAGATAGGGTCGGGTCACTTTTTGACCCTATGAGCTATGACCCTTAGCATCATACAAACACGTTGGACCTATTTGTAAACTTTTAGGTACTAAATTGTAGAAAGAAAAAATTTGGGTACCAAAACGTAATTTTACCATCAAATTTTTGGTACTTATTTGTACACAAAAATAAAATTTAGGTACTAAAATGTAAGAAAAATAAATTCGGGTACCAAATTGTAATTTTTAGAAAAGTAGTGTATTTATTAGGGTCGACCCACTTACTCGACCCTTCCTGACCCGCCCCGACCCTAAAGAGTCAGACAGAGTCATGAAAGAAACAGGGTCGGAGCGGGTCAGTTATACATCTTAATCCTTCAGAGGCGGAATATTAGACAGGATCAAAACACGATCAGGGCGGGTCGGGCCAATTTTCAGCATATTTCTTATTAGGGCGTAAACTGAAGACTTTTGATACACCTATATATCATAGAGTTTGAAGCCTGGAACGAAAGAGAACCACCAATTGAAAACGCGTCCTACATATATTGGTTGCCACTTGCAACTCAAAGCAGCCAGCCGAAAGAATAACAATGAACACATTACACGCAGTTGAGTAGAAAGAGTACTTAAAACCTCTATAAATATATACAATAAGACAGACCTTGGAGAGACATGCAAGCCCAAGTATAAGAAATCGATCAAGTATGGTTCCTAAGAACACCATTGTTATTGGAGTTCTGATGATGATCATGTTCCTGCTGGTTCTCTTATTATTGCCTCCAGCAATGGCTTCCAGAGTCCTCCTGCTGGAGGTTGTAGCAAAACCAGATGCTGGTAATTAACTCTACCTTTCTCGAGACCTCATTTTTCATGATGATGAGCTAAATTTACGAAGCTAAAATTTCTTCTTGAACTGTTGTTTGTTTCTGTACGTACTGATGATGATTCAGTGGATTGCCCACACGGAGGAAATTATCGTCATCCACCACCAGGCCAGGAGGGATGAAGAGGCGATGGATGGACTTTGACGATGGAGTGATCGTATGTCACATGTTGATGTTGTGGTTTGATTTGGCACTTTTTTGTTGTAATAAACACCCGCGAACTACGCGTTTTGCGAGTGTACGCGGTGTGATTGTTTGTGTTTATTTTCGTTGGATGTTGGTTTGAATTTTTACGTATTTTGTCTTCTTGTCGTGTTATTATTGAACTTATAAATATATATCAATATTAGTATTCTAATATATGTCGTGCTGACGTCTATAAGACAACCTATAATCATAATTTTTTGATGAGGAACCTATAATCATAATTATTATGGATCTTTCCGTGGTGTGTGTTGAAATTGTGTATTTTACTTAGTTTAGGTGGCTTACATGTGTTGAAATTGTGTATTTTTACATTGCTGCCGTAACCTTAACATATATATATCTCCCATATGTACTCTCTAAAACTAAGCTGAATACCATTGACTCTGGAGAGTGCTATCTCTCCCGTGGACTAGTCCTGATTCTCGGGGAAACCACGTAAATTCGGTGTTTATCTTCTTTAATTTCGTGTTCTTATCATGGTATCAGAGCCTCTTGTCTAAGGCTTTCGGCTGCTTCTGTTTCCTTGGTTGTGCGATCGGTTTCTTTCTCGGCTGCTTCAGGATTCGTGGCTTGATTTCTGGAACTCTTATGCCCCGTTTAGTATTCATTCTGTTTTTTGATTTCTGGACAACATAAAAGGGAATCTAAAGAAAAGGAATCTGTTGTTTCCTGGAAAACAAAATCTGAAGAAAACTTGTTTAGCTGAGAATTTAGAAGGTTCTGAAACCTGGAAATGAAAACCTGTTTAGATACAATTGTTACAAGCTGATATTTGTTCTCAAAGAGAATCTTGAGTTGAACCGACACCGTACACTTAAATTTGTTTTACTCCCTGAGCGTGAACTTATTCGTCACATTATCGGTATTCGTCAAATAAGACATCTTCTTCGTAGTGAATCTTAATAAAATTATGTACCACATAAATTCGACATATTCAATCCAATCCATTAGACAAATAAACTTTTGTTCTAGAGGAATTCAAGTTATGGACACCATCATCACACAATTACAATTTAACTTACAATCTCTGTTACTTTTCAAAAGAAGAAGGGGTCTCATTCAGGTGACCAAATGGAAAAATAAACAAAGTATCTATATAAAAAAAAAACAAAGAGGACAAAAGGAAAAAGAGTTCGACAGAGCCCAAATTTGCTCACCAATAGAAAGAGGACGTGAGCTCTTTGACAAAAAAAAAAAAAAAAAAAAAAAAAAAAAAAAAGAAGAAGAAGAAGAAAGAGGACGTGAGCTAGAGCGATAGAGGAGAAATAAATGAGGTGGAGGCGGCTAGGAGGGGATTGCTTTGGAGTTTAATCGTTTAAGTGCATAAATGGGTCAAAAATTGATAAAATGTGGGTGGTAGTATTCGAAGAGCTAACCTCATTGGACTCGGTGGGAATGGGGGGAAACCCGCCCAATTCCATTTCAGGAAGCAAAAAAATTTGGTTTCCCACAATAGCACATCTTTCTACTATTTGGTTTCCCCAAATGAAAACGTTATGGAATGAGAATGAAAACTAAACACTATTTCTTATTTTCATTTCTAAATATCTGAAATGAAATGGGAAAACAGAAATGAGAATGGATATTAAACAGGGCATTAGGGTTTCGGTTTCGGTCGGCTGCTTGTGTGATCTCTTGGTTCTTGCTTGGTGATTTTCTGCTATGGTTTTATTCCCGGCCCGACTGCTCTCTTTTCCACGGTGATTATTACCGCCCGACTACTGTGTTCCGCTGCGGTTCTATTCCCAGCCCAGCTACTCTCTTTTCCCTGGAGATTATTCCTGCTCCTTTGCTTTGTTTTGCTGTGGTTCTAGTCCCAGCTTTGCTGCTCTCTTTATCAGGTTGGTCTCCATGTTCTTTCTCTGGTTCTCTTGCTCACTGCCGTGTGTCTTTGGCTGCCTTGTTGGTCTCTTTGTTCTCTATGGATCCTGTGAAACATGATGCTGCATTGGTTCGATTTGATGGGAAAAACTTTCCTCTGTGGGAGTTTCAGTTCCGAACATTTGTTCAGGGGAAGCGTCTTCTCCCGATTCTGACCGGCAAGAAGTCCAAGCCTCCTGAGACGGATGAAAAGGCTCTGGGTGATTGGGAAACTGAGAATGCTCAAGTGATTTATTGGCTTCTTGCAGCTATGGATGTTCCCACAGGTTTGAGTTTGCGCCGATTTGAGCTGGCGAGTGATATGTTGAAGCATCTCCTCTCCACGAACTATCAAGTGGATGCTTCTCGTCAATTTGAATTGGAATTGGCGTTGTCCAACTTGGCCCAGGGTGATAGGGATATTCGTTCCTACTATCAAGAGGCTATGCACCTGTGGACCGAGTCTGATCTTCTTGCTGCCTCACTCTCAGTTACTCCTCCTTCGGCTCAAACGGTGGTTGAGCGTACTCACTCCCGGACTATGACTTTTCTCATGAAGTTATGGCGTGATTTTGAACTTGTACGGGCATCCATTCTTCATCGTAATGTTACCGATTTGGATTCCATTCTTGCGGAGCTCTACAGGGAAGAAACCCGCCTTAAAAGTCAAGCTCAGGTTGATTCTCAGACGTCGAGTGGAGTGGATAATTCGGCTGCCTTTGCTGCCTCCTCATATCGGCCCCGGTTCACCTCTACTTCTGATGGCCAGGGTCCTCCAACTGCTCGTATTTGTCATTACTGTCGAGAGCCAGGTCACATCCAACCATTTTGCAAGAAACGCAACTAGTGCAACTACTGCAAACAGACTGGTCATATTCTTAGTGAGTGTCGCCAGCGTTCTCGTCGGCCTTCCTCACGCCACTCTGGTCCGCCGCCTCCTGCTCCAGCTTTTGCTGTCACTACTCCTGCTGCTCCTGCTCGTCCGGAGGTTGGCTCTTCTTCCTCTGTTGGTGTGTCCAAGGCTGAAATCACCAAGCTTCTTCATGAAGCTCTTCGGGAGGTGATGAGTTCTGCATTTGCAACTGGGAACTCTGCAGGTAATTCTCGGACTTGGCTTCTTGACTCGGCTGCTTTCAATCACATGACCAGCC